TAAGTCGTTCGAATGTTTTAGGACTGTTGGCCAATCCGAAGGGCATTACGCGAAATTGGTACAGCCCACGGTGAGTCGCGAAAGCCGTTTTAGGCTTATCCTCCTCTGACATTTTAACTTGGAAAAATCCTTGAGCGAGATCTAAAGTACAGTAGTATTGGGCACCTGAAAGCGAATCTAAAGAATCATCGATTCTCGGTAAAGGATAACTATCTTTGATTGTTTTCAAATTTAATTTTCTATAATCAACGCAAAATCGAGTGGTATTATCCTTTTTCTTAACCAATACGATGGGCGCTGCCCATGGTGATTCACTAGGCTCAATGATGCCTTGATTTAGCATTTTGTCTATTTCTTCATTAGCTATCTCGCGTTGGTGTATAGGCAATCGCCTAGCAGGAATTTTTACAGGTGTTTGATCTTTTAACTTGATTTTGTGGTGGACTAGGTCTGTTTGACCTACTCGTCCATCTGGTCCGACAAATATATCTGAATACTGAGCTAAAACTTGTTTAAGTTTATTTTTCTCATCTGCTGACAATCTGTCAGAAACATTAGACATCAGAGGACTTAAGTGTTCTGGTAAGTCTTTCGTTAACAGTCCGTGATTGTCTTGTCTAACGTCTTTAGACGCTTGTGTTTGGTGATAAATTTCTGTTACAGGCTCAAGAGAAGCAACATAAGCGTTTTTCTTTAATATGACTGTCTCTGGGGTAGGGTTTAAAACAGAAAACACCACTTCTGAGTCTTTTGACTTTATTATTGACTTTGGTATAATGACATGTTTTTCACCCATATAACCTTCAAATGGTTCTAAAATACTGTCAATTTCGGGCAATTTCCCTTTGATTTTCCCTTTCAGAAATATTTCTGACTCTCCGGGAATTTTACATGTTTGAGTTAACTGAACGCGAGCGCACGAATTTTCTGACACTGACTCATTTGTTAAGGCCAAGTCAAAATTTTTGAATTTCAAAACACCTCTGCCGGTATCAAAAGTGACATGATTACGAGCTAAAAAGTCTAATCCGAGAATTCCTTCGAGATTTCCTAAATCGGCTACCATAACCGATTGACTGAATTCGTCATTCGCGATCCCTAAATTCAAGGTACAGCGACCTAACACGGACATAGGTTCTCCATCAGCGGTCGTCAAAATAGACGATTCGTTCTCCAGTTTTACATTTCTCAAAGAATCGAATATTTGCTTCGACAGCAAAGTAACCGCAGAACCCGTGTCTACAAGCATATTAATATCTGAGTTTCCTACTGAAACTTTTATAAACCAGCAGTGTTGAGAAATAGCAGCTAATCTAAAGCTATTCAATGGCCTTACATTTTTATCAAATTTTTTATCACAATTGTTTGTCTGAGCTGAGCCTGTGGCCTCCATCCCAGCTCGTTCTAGTTTAAATCAGTATTCTCCTCGGACTGTTGTGTCCTTGGAGTCCTAACTGACTCGTTTCTCGCGTAACTTGAGTTCTTCTTTGGACAGTTGCGACTTATATGACCTTCCTCATTGCAATTAAAACAAGTGAACTTTTGAGAGTCTCGCGATTTAATAGGCGGGCGCGTGTTGTTTCTCTGTTCAGTTTTCTCTACCTGACTGGGTCTTTCCGGTTTATTTAATAAATTCTTTAGAGATTCTTTGACATCTCTCATCGAATTCTCTAATCTATCAAGTCTAGATATTTCAAGGTTTGAATGACGTGAGGTTTTCTGAATATTCTTTTCAGAATTTCCTGCGTTTGTCAAGGCCATAACATTCGAATGAATGGACTCGTTCGGTTTCCGTAGTACACTGTACGAACCCTCAAAGGCCTCAAACTCTACAGCTAATGATATGGCTCGATCCAGGGTGCTCGGGTGTGCGAACTGAATGTGTCTTTTGATATCTTGATTTCCTAACCCGGAAATATACTGCTCGACAATTAAGCTCTCTCTCATTTCTATAGGTATAGACGGAAATGCGCGACTCGCGAGACGCTTAAGCGCATAGCCATATTCGACTACTGATTCTTCGCGATTGCGACGTCTATTTCTAAACTCACAGCGATATGCTGTAACTCGTTCAGGTGGGCAGAATCTCTGCATTAATACAGATTTTAATGTCTCGTACTGACATAAAATTTCTCTGGGTAATTCTCCTAACACGCGCTGGGCTACACCTCGTAGACTCATAGCAAGTTGAAGCGCTTTTTCACGATCATTCCATTCATTCCACTCAGCCACTTGCTCAAAATGACACACATAATCATTCCATTCAACTTTATTTCCGTCAAAAGTGTCCGGTTCTTTCGGCTTTCTATTTACAAGCTTTGTACTTTTCTGTACATTTGCAGCTTTTTCTACAAAGTTTGTATTTTCTAATTCATCGTAGAAAGCGTGTGCATTAAAATCGACGTTTGCCCCTTTTGGGCCTCTCCGAGTCACGTGATTTGTAAATGTTGACGGCGCGACATGTTTAGAATCGAGGGGATTTCTTGTGTTTCTTTCACGTTTTGGATTATGTGTGAATGTTTCAACTATGTCAGGAGTATTTATTCTCCTATTTGACACTCGTTGTTTTGAATCACACGATAAGTCTTCATTCATACCAAGACAGTAGTGAGGATTTTCTTGTGAACATGAAAACAAATCTGATTCAGCGTGCGCATGCACTTGTGTATCTGGAAAGAGGTACGGATCACGTTTCTGTGATGAAAGATCAGTGATTGAACTACAATTTCTGTTTCGCAGACAAGTACAAGTGTTAAATTCCTGATCTGATTTTGAAAAACACCGGGCATTGTCTGGATAAGATTTAGGTCTAACGACTGAGTTATCGTTCTTTCCATGACTGACAAGAGGCGGATCATACATTCCATGATATACGCGCTCGGACTCGTACTCGGTCTCTGAACAATCGATGTCTAGGGGTAAGTTCTGAAGTTTGTTATTAGTAACTGTTTTATTACATGTGGGCATGTATCTACATTCGCCGTTATTCTCGGAAGATCTGTTTTGATCTAAGGTAACAGACTTATCGTCTGTAGTCGGTCCGCGCATTAAGAAACTTGGTGTGAAAAATTTCACAAAGCCATTATAGTCTGTCCCACCAAGTTACTGTAAGCACTTTTCGCATAAAATCTCAAAATATATAAATACCTTGGCTTTCAACCCAGTTCCGATCGATAGATCATTTTTTTTCCAACCTTCCGCCGTTTATCCGAACCCTCGAGGTCAACCAGTGTATACACACGGCGGCAAATTCAAAGTCTACGGAGATTTAACATGGTAAACTCGTCCATTAGCGTCTAGATTACGGGGCCGGGAACCAGTTTTCGAAGGGAGTAGTCGTCCTTTGCAAAGTAAATTTCCAAAAAATCGTTAAAAATTCAAGGAATTAATTTAAATTGCTTTTATCGATAATATAACTTTTACTTTGAATTAAAATAAATTTTAACAGCATTTAACAAATTTAATTATAAACTACGAGAAAATAGTCCGAATCTAACGAAGTACAACTTGTGGATAATGGCTGTGGGCATGATGCAAGCTTGCCAGGCGCAGTGTTTAAAACGTAAGTTGTTTATATATTCTATGGTACTTTTTGCAGCTGTTGTTGTTTTCCTAGCTTATATACACACAAGAAAGAAGTTTCTACAAATGCTAAGAATATAAATATATTTCAAAACTCATTATATTGCTGACATTAGAACAACAGCTCTATTGTTAGTGCTCATGGTTAACCGTTCGTGTTCAGTAACGGTCTGAATCATTGAATGTAAGCCCATGTGTGGAAAATGAAAAGGGGTGTTTCTATGATTATAAAAGAACACGAATATGGTTAAACAATTAGGTGAAATAATACCAAAAAGAATATAACAGCTAGTTAACTTAGTAACTAAAGTTTTAAAATTTTATTCCTACTTTCATTTTCAATTTATAACATTCCATGTACATACTACATGCATTTGGCAAATAAATAATAAGCTAGAGATCTAAAGTGCATTTTTATTTTTTCATTTATGTGTAGTATCAACACCCTGGGGACATCAAAACAGTTTTCAATAGATGACACATTTTGGAATTATTTTTCAAAACTTAATTTTTATAATATTAAAATGTGCATGTAATTTTTCATCAAGTCTTTGGATTGAGTTCTATAATGGTCATTTATGTACATGCATGCATATTGATGAACTAATTAGCAGAACCAGGCATAAAGTAGATGAATATGCATGTACTGTTTCAGAAAATAATGATTTGTCTTGACCTTGCAGTTTAAATGAGAAAGTAATTATATATGTAGTATTCATGAAAGGAAAACAGAAAAACTAAATAGAAGAACATGTCTGAATAGTTTGTCACTTTGATCAGCACAAGAAGTTAAGAAAGGCTGAATTATTTCATCTGAGTACAGACTTTAAAATAAAATTGATATACATGTAACATCAAAGGGAATCTTCCATTACCTGGTAATACTAGCTGTCATGCACATATTCAGAGTTCAAATTCTCAGTCTGGTCATCTCGAAAAAAAAAAAAAATTGATTGCCCTGTCCCAACCAACTGGCTAAAATGATTCAAAACTTTTTTTTTTATCTCCAAGAAGCAATTAACTTTTTTTGTATTCTGGAGAACACATTATTAATTTATAATTACTGGTAATTTTTCTGAGAATAATTTTCTCATCTTAACAGTCTTCACGAAAACTTTTCACACTTACTGGCCAGTAGGACCAGTGAACTTTCTAATTTTACTGGCCCACCAAAAAATTTACTGGCCCCCTTAATTTAAGGAAAATTTATGAAAACATAGTTCTAAATTAATAACACACTATTACAAGCTTGCTTCAGCTTGGATATGTTTAAATTCTTTTCAATGACAGAATATGACAATTTTGAAAATGGAAACAATGTTTGAGGTTAATATTCATTTAATGATACATCAGTGATCAGTTTAGTTATAATGAATATTGTATCAGTATGCTTATGGTCAGTGAAAATTAAAACTGTTTTATTCTAATTCATATTCATATTCTATGATCATGTTCAGTAACACATCATTTTCTCTTTCTGTTTGTTCAACATCACTATCCGAGTCATAATCTAGATCTTCATCTGCATTATCTTCCGGGTCTGCCACAAGTTCTGATACCAAGTCAGATAAATCTGAAGTTTGAGAATCAGGCTCTTGGAGGGAATCTGTGGTGTCCATCTGGGTATCTGTGTCAGGTTGAGCCCTGTTGAGGAAATCTGAAGTCTCCATCATCTGGGTATCGGAAGTGCCCACTTGAATCGGTGCCCTCTTGTAATGCAGTCTCCTTTTGCCTTTGGTATTCTAAAATTAAATAATACAGTTGAACTTGAATATTAACAGTACAAATTATGTAAAGATGACCTTTGAAAAACTATCAAAATATATTAATAATAATTACCATCCATTTAGTGATGGCTTCCTGAGGATTATACTGATCTACTGAAGAAGACTCCAGGTTGATCATCAGTAGATCATCAAGCGTTTCGTTATTGAGGCGTGCTCGCCTCTTCCCTTTGGTAAGTTTCATGGTTGAAAAGGTAGCCTCATTCCTAACTGACGTTGGAGGTAGGGCCCTCACTAAAGAAATCAGACCAAAGATGTTGGGCAGATCCTCCCCACTACTATGCAGGTCTTCCCACTTCAAGGTTCTGCTTGTTAGCCTTGAGGAAAACCTATTTGAATAAAAAATATTTCATTATTATTATAAAATCCACAAATTATTTATCCATCAGTCAGTATTTCTTCATGAACTTGTAGTAAATTACCTCTTGTACACTGTTGTTTTCAGGCAGACCCATTCTGCAGGTATCTCTTTTGGATCCCTCCCTGACTCAACCAAAAGTCCTTTAAACTGATTCACCAATACAGCTACCTCATTTTGTCCAAACTCTGAAATTCAAGAAAAATGTTAATAACCTTAAAGTATGTCAAATGGGTGACTCTTAAGTCTTTAATGGGTACAATGTATACATCATATGATAAATCACTCATATTTTAATTAAAAAAAATATTTTGTTTTGTTATGATTGATAAATTTCATTACAATACAGCTTTTCTGTATACATTTCCAACATCTCTTATTAAATTTAACAACTCTAGGGAAAAAAAAACATAATGTTAATGATTAACTCAAGACTGAATCAACACAGAAAACATAAATTGGTATATATAAATATATATATACATATATACACAAAAAGATTTTAAATCACTAAATAATCCAGAACATAGTAAATGTAAGCAACAGCCATCAATAGAAACAAAAATAAAATTCTTTTTTTTTAAATTAAAACCTTTAATTGCATCAGAACCAGGGAGTGGCCAGTTTTTTAAGTTAGATATGAAAGTGGCTTCCAAAACGGGGCTTATTGGAAATCTGTCACCAAATGATTTCACTAATTTTTCACATAATCTCTCAGCAACAACTTTTGGTTGAGTAACTATTCCGTTAAAAGTGACAGATTGATTCTGAAACTCTTTATTTTGTACTACCTCCTCTGCAGACTGTAAATCTCTGTCAAATATTCAATAACGATAACACTTCATGTGAAGCAGATTAATTTTAAACTCTGTTTTCATTTATTATTCACTTTCTTCTAATAGAATGATATCTAACAGTATACATACATACCTTGTAGATAATTAAAACTAAAATGTACTTACAGTGAAGCTGTCTGCAAACATGTTTTTTGTTGCATCAACCCGTAACTAGGCATCTGATAAGGACCAACTCTCTCTTTTGTAGGTACAGTGACAACTTCATTCGAACTGATATGATCTCCTTAAATTATAAAACATTTTTAAATTTTAACAGTAATGCACATAGTAACTGTACGTATGATTTAACTTATATTTATTTATAAAAATAAAACAAATCATTGATTTTTAAAAATGTTGATTATGCTTTTATTTGTGAATTTACTGAAACTGACTACCTTAAGGACAAGAAGGAATGTAAGAAGATTTCCATCACATATCAGTTTAGCAAAGCCTTCTGCTTTTGGACAATCATGAGATGCATTCTCTAGTTGTAGCCGAATTGCTCGATAGCTGCGAAAAAAGGAGTAGAGGGCCCTTTCCATGTGAGGTAGCCATCTTGTACCTCCTATCCTCATTGGCAAAACCTGTTTCATGCCAAGAGACTCAAAAGACCTTTTCAACGCTTTTATCTGCTTAGGACTCTTTCGGTAGAAATAAATTATTCCTAGTAGCAAAGTCATTGCCTTATCATAGAGCTTTTGGTAAGAGGCTTTGATAGTATCTTCAAAACTTAATTCTAAACGATGAGCAACACAGTGTGTAACTATCATTTCTGGTGACAATTCTAATAACTTTGCTGCCAAACCATTTTTTCTGCCTGGAAAAAAGGGATAATCACTTAAAAATCTGGATATTTCATTATGTCATACAGTGATACTTGCATGCCAACTACATTTATTTAGGAGTACTTTAAGTCTTTAATCATAAACTTAGATTATTTCTTTTAATATTATTTGTCATATTAATTGCCATATTTATAAATTAAAAATAACAATTGTATTACCTTGCATGTTGGAAGCTCCATCAGCACAAAATCCGACTAGTTTGGTTTTCAGAATAGGTAGCAATTCTAAATTTCTGAACAACATACAGAAGTGATCAAAAATATCTTGAGAACAAGCAGATTCTGGGCTTCCAATGTGCAGAAAGCAATCCTCAACTTTGAGATCGATCACAACACGAATATAAAAATTGTCCAATTCCTCTCCTGTAAAATCCGTAGAGCCATCACAAGTAAAGCTGAAGAAATCTGACATTACAAGTTTCTGTTTCACTTTCTGTCTCTCCACTTCTGCTATAACTCGCACAAATTCCCTGATAGCTTTGTCATTTGTGTAGGTATCACCTATTTCTAGCCCCTTTGCTTTATCTAAAGCGCATATAAAGGAGTAATCTAGAAAACTTTTCTGATGTTTAGCTATTGCATGTGCAGTTCTAAATTTAACTTGAAGTTTGTCGTATTCAGATTGCCTCAACGTTTTAACGCATTTTTCAGCAGGTGTTTCTTGGTCACAGTTTTTTGGAACAAAGTACGTGTGCCACTTACTTGTTTCATGCTGACGAATTGCATCTAGTTTGAAATTGTCTGTCCCTTTCACAAATGCTATGTCGGATAGTTTGCTATCCCCACGCTCATCATTAGCCTTTCTGCCATATATGGCAAGAAATTGGTACTGTGTTTTTAGGTGATACTTTTGTACCCTAGGGTACACTTCTATTTATCCTTTACCAATAAGGTTACAATTAGGGTACAGTACAAAACCATTGGAAAATGAAAGAAGAAAATTTCTGAAGGACTGTCAATGTAGCCGGGTTACAATGGGTACAGTGGTTACTTATTAACATAATTAACAGTAATAACACCTTTTCTACTTTTATCCTAAAACTATTTGATTTTAGAATTTAAACAGGGTACGGAGGAAACTATATGCCTACAAAATCACAACAATTGACATTTTCATAACTTAAAGTGTTTGATTCATATTAGCATGATCATGACCTAATGGCTTCAAAGGTCTAATTACAAAAAACAACCACACTCATGTAAGTATTTAAGAGGGTATAAGTCAGCTTCTTACCTTTAATTATGATTATAAAAGTCCTGATTCTTGAAGTTATAATTAGCTACACTGATAATTATATTCCAGACTTGAGCATTGCATGACACACCTGATACTGTATACTTATCGCAAATGATTTACCTGTACCCCCACTCTGTCTGACAAACACAAACTCTACTAACAGTACCTGATGGTGTGTACTATACACAAACTGATCAAATCATTGTGATCATGTAGGATTGGGTGATCATTTACTTCCATTTCAGGCCAGACTAATATAAATTACCATATACACTGTATTTATCTTATCCAATTCAATTTTGATTAGTAAATTAAAGTTATATACTAGTAATTTCTAAACAAGTTTAGCTAAACTTTATTAATATATTTGTAAATAGTACTAGTACTTTGAACAGATCATTTAATACCTTTTTTTAACAAAAGTATATACCATGGGTAGCTAGGTCCCTGCTATCAAGTATCATATGGGCTGGTAGATTTGAGATTTTTACCAGCACAGAGATTTTTTTTTTATTTAAGCCCCTCCCATCACCATGAATATAATATATGTCACTTATCTGATAAAAATCTGCATTGCAAAACTCAGATGCTTTAAAATTTGTATTAAGAATTTTTATCCAATTAATTTATTATATTATTTCCTAAATTAACATAGTTCAATACTTTATAAATAAAAGACCATGAACAATGAAATTGAATCAAAAGCTTTTTCAAAATCGATTAAAACCAACAATCCTTGTATATTTTTAGCTTCTGTGTATGCCATTAAATCATAAATAAATCTGGTGTTTTCACCCAAATATCTTCCTTTTAGGAATTAAGTGTGAGTGTCTGAAATCAAAAGATCCAGAGTATATTTTATTCTGTAATTATAGAGTTACGGTCTCCAATTGTTCAAAAATTGTCTGGGTTTATTCCCATTGGGTATACATGAAATTATCCCTAGTCTTTGTGAAATAGGAATTTCTTTTTTTTTGACAATATACAATTTGTAGCTCGCATAATGTATGTAGACTTAAAGATCACTCCAGAAAAATAAAAAAAAAATTCAGTTGTAAATTAAGCTTTACCATATCACTTCCAGGAGATTTATCATTCTTCATATTTTTTAAAACTTGTAAAACTTCATTTTCTTCAATATCTTTTTCTTAATCAAGGAAGTGATTTTATCTAATTTTTGAATTTCAGTTGAGTTAATAATTTCTTCTAAATCAATATCAATCAGTTTATAATCTGTATTAGAATATAAATCTTGATAAAACTTTTTGACTTGATTCAAAATTTCTGATTGATCATATATAAGGTGACATTTTGTTTATTTCTTGGTTTACGGATCCACCGACCTGATTTTTTTTTAAGTCTCCTGAATTGATCGAGTACTTTGGATTAGAGGAAAATATTTTTCTTTTCTTTTTTTTCTTAAATTAAACTAAATTCTAGATCAGGTTCGGCATAGGACATTTATATGTTCTTTCAATGTAGCTCTAAAATATGGCAGTATATACATGAACCTTGGTAAAACATGCATATAAATCTGTGAAAATTTTGATAATCTAAATTTAAGGCTCAGAAGGTATGTAAACATTGGGTTTGGGAAATGTTTTGCAGTGGAATTATAAAGTTGCAAAATCAAGTATGCTAGGAAAAGCCAGTGAAATTTTTAGGTGGCAGCTAGTTTAAATGCATGTAAACAGAGAAAGAAATAGAGAAATAACAGACTTGTAAAAGTTTTTTTTTTCAATAGATGGCACTGTAGCTCTAGGTTTTCCATCCCAATTTTTCCTATTAGAGCTGCAGTCTTGCAGCTATATGTAACGAGCAGGTGAACTTAGGTGTTAGTTTTTATATATGGCATGCATTTTATTCTTCTGCCAATTTACATAGGTATCATAAAAAGAAGAGAATATGATTATTAAGTAGAAAATAGAAGGAAAGAAGAGAAATTTACAAGTATTTTGAATTTAAAAGCATATGCCTCTGGCCTAGCTGCCGCCTCTGATTTGTTAATTATTTTTATACAAGTAGTCTTAGATCATGATTACATGTATATCATGTGATCATAATAAATACTGCATAATTTTTGGTAAACAGAAATTTTGACAATAAATATTAATTCAATTAAAAAGAAAAAATTAAAGTTAACAAATAAGATTACTTTTATAAATAAAGTTCATCTACTTTTTGGGGATTACTTTAGGATATGAGCTAATTTTATATTTAAAACAAATGATGACATATAGAGGCAGTTGTGCAAAAAAGAAAATTAATGAAATATGTTGTGGAGGGATGGGGGTCAACTGAAATGCTGTTGTATGTGTACTGTATAAATCAGATCTAAGGTAGAATCTGAGGAAGATCAGGTGATAATCCACCTGGTATACACATACCTATGAAGTCGCATGTTTATTGTTCTCCTGGCCAGGTGTCAAACTGTAAAACCTTCCAATTCGCATAGAATATACAAGAAATATACAGTTCTTTTGTCATGTCCAGGAAAGGTGTGAAAAGTAGAAGGGGTCTTTCAATTTGCAATGAGGTAAACTTGTTTGGAGGAGATAGGGTTCACAATTACTTTGAACCAGATTTTGGTCTACATTGCATGTACATATTTTTCACAATCTCCCCCCCCCCCTTGGAATAAAGGTTTTGAATGAGAAATTAAAAAAATATATTGATTCATTTGTTAAATTTATAAAGTATGTGACCCCCTTCCTTACTACAGCATGTAACACTGGCACTTTATGTTTTAATCCTATTTTTCATAAATAAAAAATCCACTATGTATTATACAAAGTAACTGGAATATTTGTATAAAAATTAATAAGTTTAAAACATCAAGCACCTATGGCATGTAAGTAACATTTTATTACAATTAAGTTTTACAAAAAAATATATTCATATAAAATGGTGTGGCATTCTTCCTTAAGCCAGAACATGTTAAAAAAAAAAAAAAAAAAAGAAAGAGCGATGTTCATGTGATACGCATATCAGTATTGTACATAATTATATGTCCACCAATAATGATAGTTTACAAACAAAAGAATTAAATTTAAGTTATTAATAACACAAAAAAAAAGTGGAAAAAATATCCAATTTTTTTAAGACTATGAAAACTTAATTAAATTTTGGTGGGATTTGATGGGTTTATATTGTTAGAACTTTATACAATATTAGATATAAATTTATATCAGTGACTCCATGTCTCCTTCTCCACTTTTTTCTTTGCGACAGGAAACAAGAACATATAAATATAGCCAAACAAAACATAGAGAAAAAGAGAGGAAAATTATTTTTTTATAAAGATATTCAATCAACCTCAGATAAGATTATGTTTTAGAATTTAAATGTTTTAGCTAGGTTTCATAATACTGAGAAAGAAATGAATAAAAACTGCTAAAAAACTAGAGGTACTGTGAGCAATGAGCTCACTAAATGATACCCCCCCCCATATGAATAAAATGGCTGTGTCCATGTTTTCCTCTGGAAAATCCAAAATATGTGTCAGATCAAAAAGTAAAATAGGAGGTGCACAATGGCAATATGTAATAAAGATTCTGAGAAAGTTTCACTAAATTTCCTTCAGTGGTATAAGAGTAGTTAAAAAGGATAAGAGATGAGTACCCCAAAGCGTAACAGACGGATGGGACTGAAATACCGATTTACTATACTATTTTCAAGCGGGGGGTATAATAAACAAAATTCCCATATTGGATTGGTGCAAACCTAAATTTACAATCCCCACTGTATTTCTACTATAATTGTTCAGGCACTGTGTGCATGCTTTTGAAATCATGATGAAAATGCCAGGGGCCTGTTTCACAAAGCCTACTTAGGACTAAGTTATATCTTAGGAAGGAACTTTTTCCTATGTCATTACTTATCTGTTTCACTAACCTTGTCTTATCTTAAGATATTCCTAAGTTATGTCGTAACTTTAGGAAAGGTAAATCGATGACTTAGGAAGAAACTAAATATTGCGACTGCATATACAAAATTTCTTATGGAAAGAGAGAATGTGTTTGGGGAGAGAAAATTCAATGAACTACTAGTAAGGATGTGTCAATCAAACCTGCCAAAAAATTTGAAATTTTAATATCTTTTAAATGAAATAAGATTTTTAATTAATTTTTGTGTGAAATGCTATTAAAATATATAAGTCATAATATTATAGAGAAAATAATAACTTCATATCTGTGTCTAAGTACCTTTAAATAGAATTTGAAAAATGATATTTTAGATAAATGGAAACACTTGTTAGTGTTATTTATATAGATGCGTGGTTGCATCTAATTTCCTCTAGGACGTTATTATTGAGGGGACACAAACAAAACATTATTATTAAGCCCCCCCCCCCCCCCCCCCCCCCCCCCCCCCCCCCCCCCGTGCTCCTCCACGGTCATGAGATTACAACCAGTTATGCTCTCCGCTTAAAACAATGTATAGCTGTGCATGAGATGTTAAAAAATTTCCTTTTTTAACTTCTCCTTTTAGCATTTTCATATCTGTAGTCGCGAATTTGGGATTTTTTCTGGCATGACATTCTTATTTCATATATGTGAGAAAGCTTTTTACACAGCAGATCAGCAACTAACTTGGAGCAGTCCTTGGCAAAGCCTTTTATTAATTGTTCTCATGTGTTCGATACGAAGGAATAATTTTTAAATTTCATGCAATAATTGACAAGTAGAAAAGTACAGTAAAAAAACAATAACTGGGATCGATACCATATAAAGTGCAAAATAAAGTAAACGTATAAAGGTGGAACAATGTTTAAAAAAAATTAGGAATGGCAATTAATCGAATACACAATTGCTAATCGGTTAACTGCAAGACGTTCCGACAGATTAACTGGTTAACCGTATCAAAATACGCATTTTCTTGATGTACATAGTATGTAGATCTATTGTATACACAAAAAGACTGATAAAGTCTACATATATAATACTGTAATTGTACTTGAGTTTTTAAAAAAGAATAGGGAAAAATTAAGAAAAGCAAAAATCATGTCTGAGAATTAAATCATTCATTTGATATTTTCCCAGTTGTCACCAGTTGTGTTGTCACCATAATTAATACTTAGTATTCATCACTTGATTTACAAAGTTTGTTTAGCAATTTATTCGATAGATGACTGTAAAAAAAAACATACTAAATCTCAGTTCTCGACGGTGATTTAATCATCATTAAAGAAATACAGGACAGTCAGGGTAACGACTTGCAGTGTTTTAACAGTATATAATTATCACTTCAAACACACAATGGCTAATTACCTTATAATATCAGTCCGGAGAACGATAATAACATCCAAGTCAGCTTCTGAAATCGCTGAATTATCAACATTTGTCCAAAGTTTTTTTTTCAAAAATGAATTTCTATCAAAATTTGGTTCAAAATTACATAAATTTTATTTTTTCCGAGTAACCGATTACAGATTTTCTAACCGATTGCAATCATTCCGACTGAGTAATCGGTTAACCGGTTACAAATTGCCATCCCTAAAAAAATACAAATGTCATGTGCCCGAAAGGGAAGAAGTTTTGAAAGGGTGTGTCTGTGAATGCTTAGTTCTAGCAGCAAACTTCGCAAAGTTAAAACATACTTCTGTTCAAGTCCTTTGAAAGTGGGGATAATCCCCCGATCCCATACCATAACTCTTTTGGTCTAATATAAGGAGACTTCTTATTTTGGTTGAAAACATCAATTGCAAGGTCAAGATTATCAATTTATACATTACGTGGGTATAAATTTCTGATCAGTTAATTTTCATGGCAATTTGAAGTAATTTAATTCATATCTCAAGAAGCTTTTAGGTTTTTGCAATGTAATGTTATACAACTCGCTATGGCCCCACCCTAAGGGGTCTAGATTTGAACAATTTAGAATCTACACTACCCCAGGATGCTTCCACATAAGTTTCAGCTTTTCTGACCCATTGGTTCTTGAGAATATGATTTTTTAATGGCTTTCAGCTCAGCTGAGCTAAAATGGCAAAAAAAAACCAGCCTCTTCAAAACTTCCTGTACAAAAGTTCGAGGCGGAATAAGCACGGCTTGGGCTTGGCTAAGACACGGAATCCGCACGGGATTTTAAAATGACGCACGGGTTCTGCATGTCCAAGACACGGACACAGCTTCTGTGTCTGAAAGTGAGGAATCCTTACTCACAGAAACCCATGTGGAGGCACAGAATCCGTGTCCCAGGTAGAGGGTTTTTTTAACTCTGGCGGGTTTTGCTTAAAACTATTTATTTATATATCTCACGGCTTTTTACTGAGCATGCTCAATCATAACTTCCTTTATTTGAATATGAAATTGGAGGGATTCATGGTCATGAGCAAAGAATGTGTCTTTTTTACTCTAGTTAAAGAATATTAAACTAATAGATGTTTAAGTTGCATGGAATTGTATATATGTCAGTCTGGGATAATTTCATCACTTTTGAACTAAATGCAGTAAGTGTGTAATCTAGAATAAATAAGTCAATTTTTCAATTTTCATGATCTTCCTGTATTGCAATGTTGACAATGAACATGATGAAAGAGTTTAGGTTAATTTGAATGACTTTCACTAATCCTTTATAGTTTATATTTTGTGACATCACTGTTTTAGTGAAAGTTTTATTTTAACTAAATTCTTTCTCAGATTGTGCAAACTTAGCTACTAGATTAAATTACAATTGAATATTGCACATTATCATTAAAATCTTAATTTAAAACTAAGCATGGATTGTAACTGATAAAGTAAATCTTTAACAGAAAGTAAATGGACATATTCATGTAAGATTTTTAACTTTCAAAATTCTAAAACTAAGCATTAATGTAAAGCAATGGGAGGTTAGTTTGGTTTCAGTCACCATTTTGTCATCCACAGTTACATCTGGGGATTTTCTAAAGGCCATGACCTAGATCTAAACAAATTCACAGATCCTGTGATGCCGTATATGGTATACGGCACGGCTTTTTAGACACGGGTTTCCAAAATCATATTCACATTTCCCTGCCGGTGGCCATAGACGTAGTGGTAATTGGAGGTAATCTGTAGTGTGAGCGATGCCCCAAGATATGGGTCCACATCGGCCTAGTAGACCTTAAAGTATCAGTCACATTATCAGTCAGGGGCATAACTTGAACAATTTATTTTCAAAAATAACTCAAATGAGTCTCAATGAATTACTTCTCTTTGCTATGACCTACTTCTTCCCAGCCTTAGTAACTCAAACACGTTATTTTTCCAAAAAAGCTTCAATAAAATAATAATTTGTTTAAGTTATTTTCTGTCATTCCTCCCTAACTTCAAACCCCCTGCACCAAAGGATTTTGCTCGTGCACCAAGACAAAAACAGATGTTTGACTAAATTTAAACCTTGCTCAATGCAGGAAAATTTCAGCCTTCTAAACCCTTG